CCCAGACCTCCCAGACACTCCTGAGACCCCCTAACACTCCTCCCCAGACCCCTAAACCCTCAGATCCTCAGACCCCTGGAGCTCTCTAACCCCCCTCAGGACCTCCCTTTGTGCCCCCCCAGGGTACCTGAACCGGCCGCGGGTTCACAACGTGGAGGTTCTGCACGAGCTGGTGGAGGGGAGGGGCTCCCAGACCCCCTGCTGACCCTGTCCAACCACAGCTCCCTGCATGGACGACCCCCCACCTCTGGGGTACCACAGGGGGAGTCCCTGGGGTCCTAAATGGGGATGGGGAGGTCCTGGGGGTCTGAGGGGTCCTGGGGTCTCAGAGGGGCTAAATGGGATGGGAATGTCCTGGGGTCTGAGTGGGGTCTGGGGTCCCAGGCTAAATGGGATGGAGAGATCCTGGGGGTCTGAGGGGTCTCTGGGGGTCCTAGGGGGGCTAAATGGGATGGGGAGGTCCTGGGGGGCAGGGGTCTGAGGGGGTCCCAGGGGCCTAAATGGGATGGGGAGGTCCTGGGGGGTCTGAGGGGGCTGGGGGTCCTAAATGTGATAGAGGGGTCCTGGGGGATCTGAGGGGTCTCTGGGGGTCCTAGGCTAAATGTGATGGGGAGGTCCTTGGGGAGGTCCTAAAACGTGATGGGGGTTCTGAGGGTCCTGGGGGTCCAGGGGTCCTAAATGGGATGGGGAGGTCCTGGGGGGTCTGAGGGGTCCTGGGGTCCTAAATGTGATGGAGGGGTCCTGGGGGTCCCAGGGGGCTAAATGGGATGGGAATGTCCGGAGGGGGTCCGAGGTCTTGGGGGTCCCAGGGGTCCTGGGGGTCTGAGGGGTCCTGGGGTCCCAGGAGGCTAAATGGGATGGGGAGGTCCTTGAGAGGGGTCTTAGGGGGAGTTGGGGGTCTTAAATGTGATGGAGGAGGTCCTGGGGGAATTTGGGGTGTTAGGGGGTCCCAGGGGTCCTAAATGGTGATAGGGGAGGTTCTGGGGGGATCTGAGGGGTCGCTGGGGGTCTAAACGTGGGATGGGGGGCCTGAGGGGGCTGGGGCGGTCCCAGGGGGCTAAGTGGGATGGGAATGTCCTGGGGGGCCGAGGGGTGGGAGGGGGTCCCAGGGGGCTAAACGGGATGGGAGGTCCTGGGGATGGGGGTCCTGAGGGGTCCTAGGGGTCTTAAAATGGGATGGAGGGGTCCTGGGGATCTGAAGGGTCCTGGGGTCCCAGGCCGGGTTGGGGGTCCCTGAGGGTCTCTGGGGGGTCCTGGGGGGTCTCGGAGGGTCCCAGGCTGGGCTGGGGGTCCCTGAGGGTTCCTGGGGGTCTCTGGGGTCCCAGGGCAGTGCTGGGGTCCCTGAGGGTCTCTGGGGTTCCTGGGGGTCTCTGGGGTCCCAGGCTGGGCTGGGGGTCCTGAGGGTCTCTGGGGGTCTCTGGGGGTCCCTGGGGTCCCAGGCTGGGCTAGGGGTCCCTGAGGGTTCCTGGGGGGTCTCTGGGGGTCCCAGGCCGGGGTGGGGGTCCCTGAGGGTTCCTGGGGGGTCTCTGGGGGTCCCTGAGGGTCTCTGAGGGTTCCTGGGGGGTCTCTGAGGGTCCCAGGCCGGGTTGAGGGTCCGTGTGACTCTCTGACTCCCTCAGGGTCCCTGAAGCTGCGACACGTCTGGAACCTGCACAGGATGCGCTGGGTGGGGGCTTGAGGGCTTTGGGGGTCTTGGGTTTTTGGGGTCCTGGGGTCTCTGGGGGTTTTGGGGGTCTTGGGGTCTCTGGGGGCTTTGGGGGGTCTTGGGGTTTTGGGGGTCCTGGGGTCTCTGGGAGGGTCTTGTGGGGTCTTGGGGTCTCTGGGGACTTTGGGGGGGTCTTGGGGTTTTTGGGGGTCCGGGGTCTCCGGGTATCCTGAGAGGGTCTTGGGGTCTCTGGGGGCTTTGGGGAGGGTCTTGGGGTTTTTGGGGGTCCTGGGGTCTCTGGGGGTTTGGGGGATCTTGGGGTCTCTGGGGGCTTTGGGGTGCTTTGGGGGAGGGTCTTGGGGTTTTGGGGGTCCGGGGGTCTCTGGGGGTTTTGGGGGTCTTGGGGTCTCTGGGGGGGTTTTGGGGTGTTTTGGGGGTATTTGGGGGGTCTCAGGGGTGTTTTTGGAGTCCCAGGACCCCCACAGCCGCCGACATTTGGGTGTTTTGGGGTCCCAGGGTGTATTTGGGGGTTATTTTGGGGGTCTCAGGGTGTGTTTTGGGGTCTCAGGACCCCCACAGCCGCCGACATTTGGGTGTGTGTGGGGTCTCAGGGGGTCTCAGGGGATATTTGGGGTGTGTTTGGGGGGTCTCAGGGTGTGTTTGGGGTCTCTGGGGGTCTCAGAGGATATTTGGGTGTATTTGGGGGTCCCAGGGGGTATTTTGGGGTTATTTTGGGGGTCTCAGGGTGTGTTTTGGGGGTCTCGGGGTCTCAGGGGGTGTTTTGGGGGTCCCAGGGGGTCTCAGGCTGTATTTGGGGGTCTCAGGGTGTATTTTGGGGTGTATTTGGGGGTCTCAGGGTATGTTTTGGGGTCTCAGGACCCCCACAGCCGCCGACATTTGGGTGTTTGGGGGTCTCAGGCTGTATTTGGGGGTCTCAGGGTGTATTTGGGGTGTATTTGGGGGTCCCAGGGGGTCTCAGGGTGTATTTGGGGTGTATTTGGGGGTCTCAGGGTGTATTTGGGGGTCTCAGGGTGTATTTGGGGTGTTTGGGGGTTATTTTGGGGGTCCCAGGGTGTATTTGGGGGTCTCTGGGGTCCTAGGGGTATTTTGGGGTGTGTTTTGGGGGTCTCAGGGGTGTTTTTGGGGTCCCAGGACCCCCACAGCCGCCGACATTTGGGTGTTTGGGGGTATTTTGGGGGTCTCAGGGGTGTTTTGGGGGTCTCAGGGTGTGTTTTGGGGGTCTCAGTGTGTGTTTTGTGGTCCCAGGACCCCCACAGCCGCCGACATTTGGGGGTGTGGGGGTCTCAGGGGATATTTGGGGGTCTCAGGGGGTCTCAGGGATATTTGGGGTTATTTTGGGGGTCCCAGGGGGTCTCAGGGTGTTTAGTCTCAGGACCCCACAGCCGCCGACATTTGGGTGTGTGGGGTATTTGGGGTTATTTTGGGGTCTCAGGGTGTGTTTTGGGGTCTCAGGTGTGTTTGGGGGTATTTTGGGGTCTCTAGGTGTATTTGGGGGTGCTTTGGGGGTCTCATAGGATATTTGGGGTCCCAGGGGTCTCAGGGTATGTTTTTGGAGTCTCAGGACCCCCACAGCCGCCGACATTTGGGTGTGTGGGGGTATTTGGGGGTTATTTTGGGGGGTCTCAGGGTGTGTTTTGGGGTCTCAGGGTGTGTTTGGGGGTATTTTTGGGGTCTCTAGGTGTGTGTTGGGGTGTTTTGGGGGTCTCAGGGGATATTTGGGGTGTGTTTTGGGGGTCCCAGGGTGTATTTGGGGTGTTTTTGGGGTCCCAGGACCCCCACAGCTGCTGACATTTGGGTGTTTGGGGGGTCTCAGGGTGTGTTTGGGGGGTCTCAGGCTGTATTTGGGGGTCTCAGGGTGTATTTGGGGTGTTTTTGGGGTCCCAGGGGGTCTCAGGATGTGTTTTGGGGTCTCAGGGTGTATTTGGGGTGTTTTGGGGGTCTCTAGGGTGTGTTTTTGGGGTCCTAGGGTATTTGGGGTTATTTTGAGGGTCTCAGGGCTGTTTAGTTGGGGTCCCAGGGTGTATTTGGGGTGTATTTGGGGGTATTTTAGGGGGTCTCAGGGGTGTAGTTTTGGGGTCCCAGGACCCCCACAGCCGCCGACATTTGGGTGTTTTTGGGGTCCCAGGGGGTATTTTGGGGGTCTCAGGGTGTGTTTTGGGGTATTTTGGGGGTATTTTGGGGGTCTCAGGGTGTATTTGGGGGTATTTTGGGGGTCTCAGGGTGTGTTTTGGGGTATTTTGGGGGTATTTTGGGGGTCTCAGGGTGTATTTGGGGGTATTTTTGGGGGTGTTTTGGGTGTCTCAGGGTGTATTTGTCTCAGGCCCCCACAGCCGCCGATATTTGGGTGTTTTGGGGTCCCAGGGTATTTTGGGGTCCCAGGGTGTGTTCTGGGGTCATCTGGGTGTATTTGGGGTCCTGGGGTATTTTGGGGTCCCAGGTGTATTTGGGGTCTCAGGGTATTTGGGGTAGTATTTGGGGTCTCATTTTGGGGTCTCAGGGGTGTCTCTGGGGTATTTGGGGTGTTTTGGGGGTATTGGTGTTTGGGTGTTTTGGGGTCTCAGGGTTTGGGGGTGTTTTGGGGGGTCTCAGGGGTCTTAGGGGTGTTTGGGGGTCTCAGGGTTCTCTGGGGGTCTCAGGGTGTGTTTTGGGGGTCTCAGGGTGTATTTGGGGTGTTTTTGGGGTCCCAGGGGGTCTCAGGGATGTTTTTGGGGTCTCAGGACCCCCACAGCCGCCGACATTTGGGTGTTTTGGGGGATATTTGGGGGTGTTTTTTGGGGGTCTCAGGGGGTCTCAGGCTGTATTTTGGGGTCCCAGGACCCCCACAGCCGCCGACATTTGGGTGTGTGTGGGGTCTCTGGGGGTCTCAGGTGTGTTTTGGGGGTCTCTAGGTGTATTTGGGGTGTTTTTGGGTCCCAGGGGTATTTTGGGGGTCTCAGGGTGTATTTGGGGTCTCAGGGTAGCTTTTTTGTCCCAGGACCCCACAGCCGCCTACATTTGGAAGTGTTTTGGGGTATTTGGGGTGCTTTTGGGGTCTCAGGCTGTATTTGGGGGTCCCAGGGGATATTTGGGGTGTGTTTTGGGGGTCTCAGGGTGTATTTGGGGTCTCAGGCTGTATTTGGGGTGTATTTGGGGGGTATTTTGGGGGTCTCAGGATGCTTTTGGGTCCCAGGACCCCATAGCCACGACGATTTCGAGTGTTTTGGGGATATTTGGGGTTATTTTGGGGGTCTCAGGCTGTATTTGGGGTGTATTTGGGGGGTGTTTTGGGGGTCTCAGGCTGTATTTGGGGGGTCCCAGGACCCCCACAGCCGCCGACATTTGGGTGTTTTGGGGGTCTCAGGGTGTATTTGGGGTCTCAGGTGTATTTGGGGTGCATTTGGGGGTGTATTTGGGGTCTCAGGATGTTTTTAGTTCAGGACCCCACAGCCGCTGACATTTGGGTGTGTGGGTCTCTGGGGTCTCAGGATATTTGGGGTGTGTTTTGGGGTCTCAGGGTGTTTTTGGGGTCTCAGGTGTTTGGGGTATTTGGGTGCTGTTTGGGGGTCTCTAGGTGTGCTTTGGGGTGCTTTTGGGGCCTCAGGGTTTTTGGGGTCTCAGGACATTTGGGGGTGTTTTTGGGGTCCCAGGGTCTCAGGATATTTGGGGCTATTTTGGGGTCTCAGGGGGTGTTTTGGGGTCTCAGGGGTCTCAGGGTGTTTTGGGGTCTCAGGGTGTTTTTGGGGTCCCAGGATATTTGGGGGTTATTTTGGGGGTCTCAGGGTGTATTTGGGGGGTCCCAGGACCCCCACAGCCGCCGACATTTGCTTCACGCGGGAGCTGCACTCGACTTTCTTCAGCCTCGGCCGCTGCGTCCCCGTCTGCAGGGGTGACTGAACTGGGGGAACTGGGAGCACTGGGAGGGACTGGGAGGACTGGGGACTGGGGGACACTGCATCCCTGTCTGCAGGGGTGACTGAACTGGGGAACTGGGAGGGACTGGGAGGGACTGGGAGGGACACTGGGAGCACTGGGATGAGCTGGGTCCCTGGTCTGCAGGGGTGACTGGAACTGGGGGAACTGGGAGGGACTGGGAGCACTGGGAGGGACACTGGGAGCACTGGGAGGGACTGGGAGGGTCACTGGGAGGGACTGGGAGGGACTGGGGGCCCTGGGAGGGACTGGGGGCACTGGGGGACTGGGAGCACTGGGAGGGACTGGGGGCACTGGGAGGGATTGAGAGGGACTGGGAGCACTGGGAGGGACTGGGGGGCACTGGGAGGGACTGGGGGGGACTGGGGGGCACTGGGAGGGATTGGGAGAGACTGGGAGCACTGGGAGGGGCTGTGTCCCCATCTGCAGGGGTCACTGGGGACACTGGGAGCACTGGGAGGGGGATTGGGGGTAACTGGGAGTACTGGGAGGGGGATTGGGGGGTAGCTGGGAACACTGGGAGGGACTGGGATGGGGCTGAGGGGGGCTGTGGTTGTACTGGGTTGGTCCCAGTCCATACTGGGAGGGTCCCAGTCCCTACTGGGAGGATCCCAGTCCGTACTGGGAGGGTCCCAATCCGTACTGGGAAGGCTGTGGTTGCCTTGAACCTCTCCCAGTCCATACTGGGAGGGTCCCAGTCCTTACTGGGAAGGTCCTAATCCATACTGGGAACCTCCCAGTTTGCATTGGGCCACCCTTACTCTGTACTGGGAGGCTCCCAGTCCAAACTGGGGGGGCCATGGTCATTCTGGGCTGCTCCCAGTTTGCACTCCCAGCCCAATCTGGTCCTTACTGGTCCATACTGGTCCATACTGGTGCAGGGGACGGCGTTTACCAGCGGGGCATGGATTTTATACTGGAGAAACTCAACCAGGGAGACTGGGTGCACGTGTTCCCTGAGGGTACTGGGAGCACTGGGAGCACTGGGAGGGGGGTACTGAGCAACTGGGAGGGGGCACGTGTGCCCGAGGGTACTGGGAGCACTGGGAGCACTGGAGGGCACCGGGAGGGATCAGGGCACTGGGAACACTGGGAGGACTCGAGAGGCACTGGGAGCACTGGGAAGGGGGTGCACGTCTCCCTGAGGGTACTGGAGCACTGGGAGCACTGGGAGGGACTGGGAGGGGACTGGGAGGGCACTGGGAGCACTGGGAGGGACCGGGTGCACTGGGTGTTCCTGAGGGCACTGGGGCACTGGGAGGGACTGGGAGGGGATTGGGGGCACTGGGAGCACTGGGAGGGGGTGCACGTGTTCCCTGAGGGTACTGGGGGCACTGGGAGGGACTGGGAGGGACTGGGAGGGGGATTTACATATTCCCTGAGGAGACTGGGAGGGACTGGGAGCACTGGGAGGGACTGGGAGCACTGGGAGGGACTGGGAGCACTGGGAAGGGGGTGCACGTCTTCCCCGAGGGTACTGGGAGCACTGGGAGGGACTGGGAGGGGCACTGGGAGGGGGATTGGGGGGCACTGGGAACACTGGGAGGGACTGGGAGAGGCACTGGGAGCACTGGGAGGGGGTGCACGCCTTCCCTGAGGGTACTGGGAGCACTGGGAGCACTGGGAGGGGGGATTGGGAGGGCACTGGGGAGCACTGGGAGGGGTGGGGCACTGTTCGCTGAGGGTACTGGGAGCACCTGGGAGGGACTGGGAGGGGATTGGGGGCACTGGAGCACTGGGAGGGGGGCACGGCTCCTGAGGGTACTGGGGGCACTGGGAGCACTGGGAGGACTGGGAGGGGATTTACATATTCTGGAGGAGACTGGGAGGGACTGGGAGCACTGGGAGGGACTGGGAGGCACTGGGAGGGACTGGGAGCACCGGAAGGGAGGGCTTCCCTGAGGGCACTGGGAGCACTGGGAGGGACTGGGAGGCACTGGGACGGGATCTGGGGGCACTGGGAACACTGGGAGGGACTGGGAGAGGCACTGGGAGCACTGGGAGGGGGGTGCACGTCTTCCCTGAGGGTACTGGGAGCACTGGGAGGCACTGGGAGGGACTGGGAGCACTGGGAGGGGGTGCACGTCTTCCCCGAAGGTACTGGGAGCACTGGGAGGGACTGGGAGGGGGATTGGGGGGCACTGGGAGGGACTGGGAGGGGCACTGGGAGCACTGGGAGGGGGATTGGGGGGCACTGGGAACACTGGGAGGGACTGGGAGGGGCACTGGGAGCACTGGGAGGGGGGTGCACGTGTTCCCTGAGGGTACTGGGAGCACTGGGAGGGACTGGGAGGGGTTGCACGTGTTCCCTGAGGGCACTGGGAGGGACTGGGAGCACTGGGAGGGGCACTGGGAGCACTGGGAGGGGGTGCACGTGTTCCCTGAGGGTACTGGGGGCACTGGGAGGGACTGGGAGCACTGGGAGGGGGGTGCACGTCTTCCCTGAGGGTACTGGGGGCACTGGGAGGGACTGGGAGGGGCACTGGGATGGACTGAGGGGGCACGTGTCCCGAGGGCACTGGGGGCACTGGGAGGGGCACTGGGAGGGACTGGGAGGGGCACTGGGAGGGGGTGCACGTGTTCCCCGAGGGTACTGGGGGCACTGGGAGGGGCACTGGGAGGGACTGGGACGCTGCTTCCTCATCTGCAGGGGTCACTGGGGCGACTGGGAGGGGAATTGAGGGCACTGGGAGGGACTGGGAGCACTGGGAAGGGTACTGGGAGGGGGTGCACGTGTCCTCGGAGGGGACTGGGGGCACTGGGAGGGACTGGGAGGGGGTGAGAGGGACACTGGAAGGGACTGGGAGCACTAGGAGGGGTACTGGGATGGACTGGGAGGGGGTGCACGTGTTCCCTGAGGGTACTGGGAGCACTGGGAGGGACTGGGAGCACTGGGAGGGGCACTGGGAGCACTGGGAGGGGGATGCATGTGTTCCCCGAGAGGGTACTGGGAGGCACTGGGAGAGGCACTGGGAGCACTGGGAGGGCACTGGGAGCACTGGGTGGGGGCTATGTGTTCCTGAGGGTACTGGGGGCACTGGGAGGGACTGGGAGGGACACTGGGAGGCACTGGGAGGGGCACTGGGAAGGACTGAGGGGCACTGGGAGGGACTGGGAGGGCACTGGGAGGCACTGGGAGCACTGGGAATGGGATTTGGGGGTCTCTGGGGTGGTTGGGGGTCTTTGGGGGCTCTGAGAGGGTTTGGGGGAATTTGGGGTTCTGGGAGGGTTCTGGGGTTTTTGGGGTTCTAGGGGGTTTTGGGGTTCTGGGGGATTTTGGGGTTCTGGGGTAATTTGGGGTTCTGGGGGTCCTGACTCCCTTTTCCATGTGTCCCCCCTCAGGCAAAGTGAACCTGGGCCAGGAGGTCGCTCGGTTTAAATGGGTGAGATCCCCCCAAATACTCCCCCAAAATAATAACCCCCAAAATAATAACCCCCAAAATGATAACCCCTCAAAATACTCCCCAAAATACCCTTCAAAAATAACCCCTCAAAAATACCCCAAAATACCTCCCACAAAATAACCCCCAAAACATCTTCCCTAAATACCCCCAAAAATATCCCCTCTAAATAACCCCATAAAATCTCTCGAAAAATACTCCCCAAAATAGCCCCCAAAATACCTCCTCAAAATAATCCCCAAAATACTTCCCACAAAATAAACCCCAAAATACCTCCCACAATACTCCCCAAAAATACCCCAAATACTCTCCCACAAAATACTCCCAAAATACTCCTCAAAATAATTACCCCCCAAAATACCCCCCAAAATACTCCCTTGAAAATAACCCCCAAAATATCCTCCCCAAAAATAAGCCCCCAAAAATACCCACCCAAAATAACGCCCCCAAAATAATCCTATTTTCCCTCCAAAATAACCCCTACAAAAATAACCCCCAAAATACCCCCCAAAATAACTCCCCAAAATAACTCCCCAAAATAACTACCCTGACCCCCCAAACCACCCCCAGGTCCCCAAACCACCCCCAGCCCCCCAAATCACCCCCCAACCCCCCCAGCCCCCTGACCCCTGAAATCACCTCCTAGCCCGACCCCTCCAAACCACCCCCTGACCCTCCCAAACCACCCCCTGACTCCCCAAATCACCCCCTGACCCCAAAATCACCCCTGACCCCCTTGAATGTCCCCAGCCCCCCAAACCAACCCCCTGACCCCCAAAATCACCCCCTGACCCCCCAAAATCACCCCCTGACCCCCAAACCACCCCCCTGACCCCCCAAATCACCCCTGACTCCCACCCAGGGCTCTGCATCCCCCTGACCCTCCCAGACCCCCCAAATTACTCCCCAGCCCCTCTGACCCCCCAAACCACCCCCTGAACCCCAAATCACTCCCCTGACCCCCCCAAATCACCCCCTGAACCCCAAATCACTCCCCTGACCCCCCAAATCACCCCCTGAACCCCAAATCACTCCCCTAACCCCCTCCAAATCATCCCCTGACCCCCAAATCACCCCCTGACCCCCAAATCACCCCCTGACCCCCACCCCCCACCCCCCTCCCCCAGACCCCTCAAATCACCCCCAGACCCCTTAAATCCCCCCCAGACCCCCAAACCACCCCCAAATCACCCCCAGCCCCCCAAACCACCCCCCTGACCCCCCAAACCACCCCCTGACTCCCCCTGAACCCCCCAAATCACTCCCCTGACCCCCCAAACCACCCCCCTGACCCCCCAAATCACCCCCTAGACCTCCCCAAACCACCCCCCTGACCCCCAAATCACCCCCCTCCGACCCCCAAATCACCCCCCAGCCCCCAAACCACCCCTGACCCCTGAATCACCCCTAGCCCCCAAACCACCCCCTGACCCCCCAAACCACCCCCTGACCCCCAAATCACCCCCCAGACCCCCCAAACCACCCCCTGAGCCCCCAAACCACTCCCTGACCCCCCAAACCACCCCCTGACCCCCAGACTCCCCCAAACCCCAGACCCCCCAGCCCCCCCAAACCACCCCCTGAGCCCCCAAACCACCCCCTGACCCCCCAAATCACCCCCTGACCCCCCAAATCATCCCCAGCTCCCAAACCACCCCCAGACCCCCAAACCACCCCCTCAGACCCCCCAACCACCCTCCCAGACCCCCCAAACCACCCCCTCAGACCCCCAAACTCACCCCAACCCCCCCAGCCCCCCAAATCACCCCCAGACCCTCAAACCACCCCCCAGACCCCCAAACCACCCCCTCAGACCTCCAACCCCCAAACCACCCCCACCCCCAAATCACCCCCCAGACCCCCAAACCACCCCCTCAGACCCCCCAAACCACTCCCCAGACCCCCCAACACTCCCACCCCCAAACCACCCCCTCAGACCCCCCAAACCACCCCCATGACCCCCAAATCAGCCCCTCTCAGACCCCCCCAAATCACCCCCCAGACCCCCCAAACCACCCCCAGACCCTCAGACCCCCCAAATCACCCCCAGACCCCCCAAACCACCCCCCAGACTCCCAGACCCCCAAACCATCCCCCAGACTCCCCAAACCACCCCCAGACTCCCAAATCACCCCCTGACACCCCCAAACCACCCCCAGACCCCCCCAAACCACCCCCCTGACCCCCCAAATCACCCCAGACCCCCCAAACCACCCCCTGACCCCCAAACTCACCCCCAGACCCTCTAAACCACCCCTGACACCCCCCCAAATCACCCCTCAGACCCCCCCAAATCACCCCCCAGACCCCCCAACCACCCCCAGACCCCCAAACCACCTCAGACCCCCCAGACCCCCAAATCACTCCCCAGACCTCCCCCCAAATCACTTCCCCTAGATCCCCAAATCAAGCCCCAGCCCCCAAATCATCCCTCCAACTCCCAAATCACACCCCCTGACCCCCCAAATCACCCTCGACCCCCCAAACCACCCCCTGACCCCCCCAAACTCCTGACCCCCCACTGACCCCCAAACCACCCCAGCCCCCCTCAAACCACCCCCAGCCCCCCCAAATCACCCCCTGACTCCCCAAATCCCAGCCTCCAAATCACGCCCCCCAAATCACCTCCCCAGCCCCCCAAATCACCCCCCGACCCCCCAAATCAGCCCCCAGCCCCCCCTAAATCACCCCCTGACCCTCCCCAAATTCCTCCCCAGCCCCCAAACCATCCCCTGACTCCCAAACCACCCCCCTGACCCCCAAATCAGCCCCCAGCCCCCCAAACCATCCTCTGACCCCTCAAATCCACTCCCCTGACCCCCCCAAATCACTCCTTTCTGACTCCCCCCAAAACCACTTCCCCTGACTCTCAAACCACTCCTTGACCCCAAAACCACTCCCCTGACCTCTCCAAACCACTCTCCCAGCCCCAAATCACTCCCCTCAACCCCCTAAAATCACCCTCTGACCCCTCAATCCTTCCCAGCCCCCCAAATCACCTCCCTGACCCCCAAATCATCCCTCTGACCCCCAAATCACCCCCTGACCCCCTAAATCACCTCCCTGACCCCCAAATCAGCCCCAGCCCCCAAACCACTCCTCCCTGACCCCCCAAATCATCTCCCAGCCCCCAAATCACCCCTGACCCCCAAATCACCTCTTCTGACCCCCCCAAATCACTCCCCTGACCCCCCAAACGCCCCAGCCCTCAAATCACCCTCTCGACCCCCTAAATCACCCTGACCCCCCAAATCAGTCCCCAGCCCCCAAATCACCCTCTGACCCCCAAACACCTCTGACCCCCAAATCACCTCCTGACCCCCAAACTCAGCCTCCAGCCCCCAAACCACTTCCCTGACCCCCAGATCACTCTCAGCCCCCAAATCACTCCTGACCCCCCAAATCATCACCTCTGACCTCAAATCCTCAGCCCCCCCAAACCACCCCCTGACCCCACCCAGGGCTTTGCATCCTCCCTGACCCCTCCCAGACCCCCCCAAATCCCTCAGCCCCCCTAAATCCTCCTCTTCAGGCCCCCAAATCATCCCCTGACCCCCTGAATGTCCCCCCTAACTCCTGACCTCCCCAAATCACTCTCTGCACCCCCAAACCACCCCCAACACCACCCCCTGACCCCCTGAATGTCCCCCTGACCTTTCTGATCTCCCCGACCTCTGAAATCCCCTCCCAGCCCCCCTAAACCAACGTCCCCTGACCTCCCTAAATCACTTCTCTGACCCTCTAAACCACTCTCTCGACCCCCCAACCACTCCTCGACCCCCCAAACCATCCCTGACCCCTAAACTACTCTCTGACCCCCAAACTACCTCCCGACCTCTCAATCACCTCTGACCCCCAAATCACCTCAAATCCCCAAACCACTTTCAAATCCTCCCAAACCACTCTCAAACCACCTTCTGACCCCCCAAACCACCTCTCAGTCCTCAGCCCCCAAATCACCTCTTCGACCCCCCCGTGTCCCCTCAGGGATCGTGCGCCTCTGGCCGAAAGTGTCGTCGGGACTCGCATCCTGCCCCTCTGGCACGGGGTGAGGGGCTTTGGGGGTTTGGGGGCTTGGGAGGCTTTGGGGCCTAGGGACCCTCTGATCCTGCCCTCTGGCACGGGGGCTGAGGGGCTTTGGGGGCTTTGGGGGCTTTGGGGGTCTTGGGGGCTCTGGGGGCTCTAGGGACCCTCACATCCCGCGCCCTCTGGCACGGGGGTGAGGGGCTTGGGGGGCTCTGGGGGCTTTGGGGGCTCTGAGGGGCTTTGGGGGCCTCTGGGGGTCTGGGGCTTTGGGGGCTCTGGGGGCTTTGGGGGCTCTGAGGCTTTGGGGCCTAGGACCCTGATCCTGCCCCTCTGGCACGGGGTGAGGGGCTTTGGGGGCTTTGGGGGCCTTGGGGGCTTTGGGGTCTGGGGTCTCAGGGACCCCTGATCCTGCCCTCTGGCACGGGGGTGAGGGGCTTGGGGGCTTTGGGGGATTTGGGGGCTCAGGGGCTTTGGGGGTCATGGGGCTTTGGGATGCTCAGGGGGTCTGGGATCTGGACCCTGATCCTGCCCCTCTGGCACGGGGTGAGGGGCTTTGGGGGCTCTCGGGGGCTTTGGGGGCTTATGGGGGCTTTGGGTCTGGGGCCTTGAGCTTTGGGGGCTGGGGGTCTCGGGGGCTTTGGGGGTCATGGGGACTTTGGGGGCTCGGGGGTCTTTGGGAGGGTTGAGTTATAGGGGATTTTGGGGGCTTTGGGAGGGTTGAGTTATGGGGGTTTGGGGGCTTTGGGGATCTCGGAGGCTTTGGGAGGGTTGAGTTATGGGGGCTTCTTAGGGGTCTTGGGGGTTTTGGGGAGTCTTGGGGGCTTTGGGGGCTTTGGGGGTCTCGGGGCTTTGGGAGTGGTTTGAGCTATGGTGGGTTTTGGGGGCTTTGGGGGTCTCAGGGGGCTTTGGGGGTGGCTATGGGGGGTCTTAGGGGGCTTTGGGAGGCTTTGGAGCTTATGGGGAGTCTTGAGGGGCTTTGGGTCTCGGGGCTTTGGGAGGGTTGAGTTATGGGGGTTTGGGGGTCTTTGGGGGTCTCGTGGTTTTGGGGAGTTATGGGGGTCTTTGGGGTCTCGGGGGCTTTGGGAGGGTTGAGGCTATGGGGGTCATGGGGCTTTGGGGGTCTCGGGGCTTTGGGGGGTGTAGTGAGGGGTCTTTGGGGGCTTTGGGGTCTCGGGGTTTTGGGGAGTCTTGGGGGTCTTTCGGGGTCTCGGGGCTTTGGGGGGTTATGAGGGGTCTTTGGGGTCTCAGGGGGTCTTGGGGGTTTTGAGGGGGCTTTGGGGCTTTGGGGAGTTATGGGGGTCTTAGGGGGCTTTGGGAGGGTTGAGTTATGGGGGCTTTGGGGGTCTTTGAGGGTCTCGGGGTTTTGGGGGAGTCTTGGGGGCTTTGGGGGACTCTGGGGCTCTTGGAGGCTTGGAGTTATGGGGGTTTTGGGGGCTTTGGGGTCTCTAGGGGTTTTTGGAGAGTCTTGGGGCTTTGGGGGTCTCGGGGTTTTGGGGGAGTTATGGGGGTTTTGGGGGCTTTGGGGGTCTCAGGGGGCTTTGGGGGCTCAGGGGTCTCAGGGGTTTTGAGGGAGTTATGGGGGATTTGGGGGCTTTGGGAGGCTGAGTTATGGCGGGGTTTTGGGGGCTTTGGGGGTCTCAGGGGGCTTTGGGGGAGTTATGGGGGCTTTGGGGACTTTGAGGTCCTCGGGGGCTTTGAGGGGGGTCATGGGGGCTTTGGGAGTCTTGGAGGCCTATGGGGGTTATGAGGGGTTTTGGGGGGCTTTGGGGGTCTCGGGGGTTTGGGGAGTCATGGGGGCTTTTGGGGGCTTTGGTCTCGGGGCTTTGGGGGAGTCATGGGGGCTTTGGGGGCTCGTGGGGGTCTGGGGTTGAGAGGGTATTGGGGTGGGCTGGGGGCCCTGGGGAGGGGATGAAGGGGGCTGGGGCACTTGGGGAGATGGGGAAGGAGGAGGGGCAGATGGGGTTTGGGGAGTGGTCTTGGGGTGAGGGGGTCCCGAGGTGCTTCGTGGGACTCCCTCGGCCCCCAGGAATGAGCGACGTCCTCCTCAACCGGCGCCCTGCGTGCCCAGGGTGGGACAGGTGAGGGGCCTTGGGGGATTTGGGGTCCTGGGGGATTTGGGGGCTTTGAGGGGTCCTGGGGGATTTGGGGGTCCTGGGGATTTGGGGGCCTGGGGGGGTTATGGGGGATTTGGGGTCTGGAGGGGAGTTTGGGGGTCCTGGGGGTTTTGGGGGTCCTGGGGGATTTGGGGGATTTGGAGGGTCCTGAGGGATTTGGGGGTCCTGGGGGCTTTGAGGGGTCCTGGGGGCTTTGGAGGTCCCTGGGGGCTTTGGGGGTCCTGGGGGATTTGGGGGGTCCTGAGGGGGCTTTGGGGTCGTGGGGGATTTGGGGAGCCCTGGGGGATTTGAGGGTCCTGGGGGATTTGGGGATCGTGGGGATTTGGGGGCCCTGGGGGATTTGGGGGTCAAGAGGGGGATTTGGGGGTCCTGGGAGGGGATTTGGGGGTCCTGGAGGGATTTGGGGGTCCTGGAGGGGATTTGGGGGGTCCTGGGGGATTTGGGGGTCCTGAGGGGTCCTGGGGATTTGGGGGTCCTGGGGGCTTTGGGGGATTGGGGGTCTGGGGGATTTGGGGGTCAGGAGGGAGTTTGGGGGTCGAGAGGGGGCTTTGGGGGTCCGGGGATTTTGGGGTCTCTGGGTGGGTCTCTGAGGGTCTCTTTGCCCCCAGCACATCACGGTGGTCGTGGGGGTTATGGGGTCCCTGGGGTTCTGAGTGTTCCCTCCCCAGCACATCACAGTTGTCGTGGGGTTTTGGGGTCCCTGGGGATTTGGGGTCCCTGGGGGGTTTTGGGGGTCTCTGGGGGTCTTTGGGGGTCTCTGAGGGATTCTTGCCCCCCAGCACATCACAGTGGTCGGGGGTCTCTGGGGGTTTTGGGGTCCCTGGGGGTTTTGGGGTCTCTGAGGGTCTCTGAGTGTCTCTCCCCCAGCACATCACGGTGGTCGTGGGGGTTTGGGGATTTTGGGGGTCCCTGGGGCTTTGGGGTCTCTGGGGGTCTCTGAGGGTCCCTTTACCCCCAGCACATCACGGTGGTCGTGGGGGTTATGGGGGCTTTTTGGGGTCTCTGGGGGTCTCTGAGGGTCTCTTTGCCCCCAGCACATCACGGTGGTCGTTGGGGGTTTTGGGGTCCCTGGGGGTTTTGGGGTCTCTGGGGGTCTCTGAGGGTCTCTTTGCCCCCAGCACATCACGGTGGTCGTGGGGTTATGGGGTTTTGGGGGTTTTGGGGTCCCTGGGGGTCTCTGAGGGTCTTTGCCCCAGCACATCACGTGGTGGGGGTTTTGGGGTTTTGGGGTCCTTGGGGGTCTTGGGGGTCTCTGAGGTCTCTCTCCCCAGCACATCACTGGTCGTGGGGTTGGGGGGTTCTTGGGGGCTTTGGGGTCTTTGGGGGCTTTGGGGTCTCTGAGCTGCCCCTCCCCAGCACATCACGGTTGTCGGGGTTTGGGGTCTCTGGGGGCTTGGGGTCTCTGGGGGTCTCTGAGTGTCCCTCCCCCAGCACATCACAGTTGTCGTGGGACGCCCTTCAGTGTCCGACCCTCCTGGAGCGGCTCCGAACGAAGGGACTGGCACGGTGGGACCCCCAGGGGGATGGGACACATTTTTGGGAGGGATGGGACCCCTTTGGGGGCTGGGACCCTTTAGGGGGCTGGGACTCCAGGGGCTGGGACATTTTGGGGGGCTGGGATCCCTTAGGGGCTGGGACATTTTGGGGGATGGGACACTTTTAGGGCTGGGACACATTTGGGGGCTGGGACACTTTTTGGGGGCTGGGACATTTTGGGGGCTGGGATCCCTTGGGGAGCTGGGACATTTTGGGGGCTGGGACATTTTGGGGCTGGGACCCTTGGGGGCTGGGACACATTTGGGGTGGATGGGACCCCTTTGGGGGCTGGGACATTTTTGGGGTGCTGGGACATTTTGGGGGGATGGGACATTTTTGGGGGCTGGGACATTTTTGGGGGGCTGGGACCCCTTGGGGGCTGGGACACATTTGGGGTGGATGGGACCCCTTTGGGGGCTGGGACATTTTTGGGGTGCTGGGACATTTTGGGGGGATGGGACATTTTGGGGGATGGGACCCCTTTGGGGGGTTGGGATCCCTTTAGGGGGATGGACCCTTTGGGGAGCTGGGACATTTTGGGGGGGGATGGGACTCCTTTGGGGGGGGCTGGGACCCTTTTAGGGGGGCTGGGACATTTTTGGGGGGCTGGGACATCTTTGGGGGCCTGGGACACATTTGGGGGGGATGGGACCCCCGGGGGGGGTTGGGACCCTTTAAGGGGGCACTGGGACACATTTGGGGGGGGGTCTCTCCCCAATCCCGGGGGTCTCTCCCCATTCCCAGGGGTCTCTCCCCATTCCCGGGGGTCTCTCCCCATTCCCGGGGGTCTCCCCATTCCCAGGGGTCTCCCCCCAATCCCGGGGGTCTCTCCCCCCATTCCCAGGGGTCTCTCCCCAATCCCGGGGGTCTCCCCCCATTCCCAGGGGTCTCTCCCCAATCCCAGGGGTCTCTCCCCATTCCCGGGGGTCTCTCCCCAATCCCGGGGGTCTCCCCCCATTCCTGGGGTCTCCCAATCCTGGGGTCCCTCCCCATTCCCAGGGGTCTTCCCCATTCCCGGGCCTCCTCAATCCCGGGGGTCTCTCCCCAATCCCGGGGGTCTCCCCCCATTCCCGGGGGTCCCTCCCCATTCCCAGGGGTCTCTCCCCATTCCCGGGGGTCTCTCCCCAATCCCGGGGGTCCCTCCCCATTCCCAGGGGTCTCTCCCCATTCCCGGGGGTCCCTCCCCAATCCCGGGGGTCTCTCCCCAATCCCGGGGGTCTCTCCCCAATCCCGGGGGTCTCTCCCCATTCCCAGGGGTCTCTCCCCATTCCCGGGGGTCTCCCCAATCCCAGGGGTCTCTCCCCAATCGAGGGTCTCTCCAATCCAGGGTCTCTCCCCAATCCGGGGGTCTCTATTCCCGGGGGTCTCTCCCCATTCCCGGGGGTCTCTCCCTGACCCGGAGGTCTCCCCCGATCCCGGGGTCTCTCTCCATTCCCAGGGGTCCCCCCCATTCCCGGGGGTCTCCCCCCATTCCCGGGGGTCTCTCCTGACCCGGGGGTCTCTCCTGACCCGGGGGTCTCCCCCCCCCTCCCCTCCCCCCAGGTGGAGCTCCGAAAAGCCCTCACGGATTTTGTCCAAAGGGAATTCGAGGCCCTTCGGGGCCACGCCCGGACCCTGCACCCCTCCCCCCACCCCCCCCGGGGGGACCCCTGACCCAAAATGGGGACCCCTGACCCACAATGGGGACCCCTGACCCACAGTGGGGGTTCCTGACCTAAAATTGGGGGTCCCTGACCCAAAACTGGGGGTCCCTGACCCAAAATTTGGGGTCCCTGGCACATAATGGGGGGTCCTGACCCAAAATGGGGGTCCCTGACCCAAAATTGGGGGTCTCTGACCCAAAACAGGGGACCCCTGACCCAAAATGGGGACCCCTGACCCAAAATTTGGGGTCCCTGGCACATAATGGGGGGTCCTGACCCAAAATGGGGGTCCCTGATCCAAAATTGGGGGTCCTGACCCATAACAGGGGGACCCCTGATCCAAAATTGGGGGTCCCTGACCCAAAATTAGAGATCCCTGACCCAAAACAGGGGAACCCCTGACCCAAAATGGGGACCCCTTACCCAAAATTGGAGATCCTTGACCCAAAACAGGGGACCCCTGACCCAAAATGGGGACCCCTGACCCAAAACAGGGGACCCCTGACCCAAAATGGGGACCCCTGACCCAAAATTGGGGGTCTGGCACATAATGGGGGCCCTGACCCAAAACTGGGGGTCCCTGACCCAAAATTGGGGGTCCCTGACCCAAAACTGGGGGTCCCTGACCCAAAATGGGGACCCCTGACCCAAAATTTGGGGTCCCTGGCACATAATGGGGGGTCCTGACCCAAAATGGGGGTCCCTGATCCAAAATTGGGGGTCCCTGATCCAAAATTGGGGGTCCCTGACCCAAAATTAGAGATCCCTGACCCAAAACAGGGGATCCCTGACCCAAAATAGGGGGCCCTGACCCAAAGTGAGATCCTGACTCAAACAGGGTCCCCTGACCCAAAATGGGACCCCTGACCTAAAATTAGGGCCTGACCCATAAAATGGGGACCCTGACCCAAAATTAGAGATCCCTGACCCAAAACGGGGGTCCCTGACCCAAAATGGGGTCCCTGACCCAAAACTGGGAGTCCCTGACCCAAAATTGGGGGTCTCTGACCCAAAATTGGGGGTCCCTGACCCAAAATTGGGGTCTCTGCTCCATGGGGGGGGTCCTGCCCCATAACAGGGGTCCTGTGCCATAGGAAGGGGGTCCCCCAGACCCAAAATGGGGGTCCCTGACCCCATAGTGGAGGTCCCTGACCCAAAATAGGGGTCTCTGCTCCATGGGGGTCCCCTGCCCCATAATGGGGGTCCTGTGCCCATAGGAGGGGGTCCCCAGCCCCATAATGGGAGGTCCTGCCCTTTAGGGTCCCCAGCCCCTCCCCGTGCACGGTGCCAATAAAGGTGGTGAAACCTCGGGGGGGGTCTCAAAATTTGGGGGGTCCCAGAGTGGAATTTGGGGGATCCAGGGGAGATTTTGGGGGGAAGGGGAGGGGGTGCCAGGAGGGTTTGGGTGGGCCTGGGTGGGGGGGAAGGGATTGGGGGAGTTTGGGGTCCCACAAAGGTTTGGGGGTTCCCAGGGGATGTGGGAGGGTCCCAAGGGGTTGAGGGGGTCCCAAGGGGGTTTGGGGGTCCTGGGAGGAGTTTGGGGGGTCCCATGAAAGATTTTGGGAGTCCTGGGTGGGGAGTTTGGGGTCCCAGGAAAGATTTTGGGGGTCCTGGGGGAGTTTGGGGGTCGTGGGAGGGGCTTGGGGGTCCTGGGGAGGAGTTTGGGGTCCTAAGGGGAGTTTGGGGGTCCTGGGGTCCTGGGGAGTTTGGGGGTCCTGAGGAGGAGTTTGGGGGTCCCAAGAAAGATTTTGGGGTCCCAAGGGGGTTTGGGGGTCCTGGGAGGGTTTAGGGTCCCAGAGATTTGGGGTCCCATGAAAGATTTTGGGGTCCCAGGAAATTTGAGGGTCCTGGGGGGTGGATTTGGGAGCCCCAGGGGAGGAATTTTGGGGGTCCTGAGGGGTCTCAAACACGACTAGACCCAATCCAACCTTTTATTGAACCCAAAAACAAAGGGGGTCTCAAATTGCCCCCAGGGAGGAGGGGGTGGGGACCCCCCCAAAGCGAGGTTTGGACCCCCAAAAACCCAACCCAGAGGGATCCCAAAAACAACCGAGGGGGAGGGGGGTCCCAAACCCATTCCCCCTCCCCACCCAAAAAAGGCTGGAGGCGTGGCCTGGTCCCGAAGAGGCGTGGCCTGAACAGAGGGGGCGTGGTTTGGTCACGGGGGGCGTGGTTTGGGGCGGGGTTTTGGCAAGAGTGGGCGGTGCCTGCAGAAATGGGCGTGGTCTTCTGAAGTGGGCGTGGTTTTGGTTTAAGGGGGCGTGGTCTCGCCGCCGGTGGGCGTGGCTGGAGGCCCCCTCACTCCTCCTTCTTGTCCCGGGGTCCGTCGTGGGCGGCCTGGGGGAAAAAGGGGGTTAGGGAGTTTTGGGGAGTCTGGGGGAATGGCTTGGGGGTTTTAGGGGTCGGGGTGTCTGGGGGGTGAAAAAGGTAGAGGGGATTTTGAGGGGTCTGGGGATTTAGGGTTGGGGGTTTTAGGGTAGGTCTAGAGGGGAGTCTGGGGGGTTGGGGGTTTTAGGAGGTCGGGGTGTCTAGGGATGGAGGGGGGTAGGAAGGATTTTGGGGTTTTAGGGGTGTTAGGAGGGATTTTAGGGGTCTAGTGGGGTGAAAAAGGGGGTTAGGGGGATTTGGGGGGTCTGGAGGGATTTGGGGGTTGGGGGTGTCTGGGAGGTGGAAAGGGGGGTTAGGGGGATTTTTGTGGGGTCTGGGGGATGGTTGGGGGATTTAGGAGTTGGGGGTTGTCTGGGAGGTGGAAAGGGGGTTAGGGGGGATTTGGGGGATTTTGGGGGACTAGGAGGATTTTAGGGGTCTAGGGTTGGGGTGAAAAGGGGGTTGAGGGGGTTTGAGAGGGGTCTGGGGGGATTTAGAGGGAGTTTAGGGGGTCAGGGGTGTCTGGGTGGGGGGAGGAGGGGTTGGGGGAGTCTGGGGATTTGGGGGGCTCTGGGGGGATTTAGGGGTTGGGTGGTGTCTGGGAGGGTGAAAAAGGGGGGTTGAGGGGGTGATTTGGGGGTCTTTGGGGATGTTCGAGACATGGGGAGTTTAGGGAGATTTTGGGGTGTCCTGGGAAGGGGTTCAGGGGATCTGGGGGTCTCTGGGGGTGTTTTAGGGGTGTTTCTTGGGGTGTTTGGGGGTTTAGGGGTGTTTAGGGTGTTCCTGGGGTGTTCTGGGGGTGTTTGGGGGTTCAGGGGGTGTTTGGAGTGTCCCTGGGGGTTCAGGGGTGTTTGGGGTGTCCCTGGGGGTGTTTGAGGTGTCCCTGGGGGTTCCAGGGTTGTCTGGGAGGTTCAGGAGATTTGGGGGGATCCCTGGGGGTTCGAGGACATGGAGAAGTTCAGGGAGGTTTTGGGGTGTCCCTGGTTGAGTTCTAGGGGTGTTTGGGGGGTTCAGGGGTGCTTGGGGTGTCCCTGGGGTGTTTTCATGGGGTGTTTTTAGGGGTGTTTGGGGGTTCAGGGGTGTTTGGGGTGTCCCTGGGGTGAGTTTAGGGGGCTTTTGGGGTGTTCTAGAGGGTGTTTGGGGTGTCCCTGTAGGTGTTCTAGAGGTGTTTGGGGTGTTTTCTGGGGGTGTTTTTGGGAGGTAGGTTTGGGGGTTCTAGGGTGTTTGGGGTGTCCCTGGGGTGTTTCAGGGAGTTTTGGGGTTCAGGGGTGTTTGGGGTGTCCCTGGGGTGTTTTTGGAGTGTTTGGGGGTTCAGGGGTGTTTGGGGTGTCCCTGGGGTGTTTCAGGGGTGTTTGGGGGTTCAGGGGTGTTTGGGGTGTCCCTGGGGGTGTTTTTTGGGGGTATTTGGGGGTTCAGGGGTGTTTGGGGTGTCCCTGGGGGGGTTTCAGGGGTGTTTTGGGGGGTTCAGGGGTATTTGGGGTGTCCCTGGTGAGTTCAGGGGTGTTTGGGGGGTCCCTGGGGTGAGTTCAGATGTGTTTGGGGTGTCCTTGGGGGGTGTTTCTAGGGGTGTTTAGGGGTGTTTTAGGGGTGTTTGGGGGTTCAGGGGTGTTTGGGATGTCCCTGGGGAGTTCAGGGATGTTTGGGGTGTCCCTGGGGTGAGTTCAGATGTGTTTCGGGTGTTTTCTGGGGGTGTTTTTTGGGGTGTCTGGGGGTTCAGGGGTGTTTGGGGTGTCCATGCTGCGTTCAGGGGTGTTTGGGGGTGTTTTTTGGGGGTTCAGGGGTGTTTGGGGGTGTCCCTGTGGTGGTTCAGGGGTGTTTGGGGGTTTCAGGGGTGTTTGGGGTGTCCCTGGGGTGAGTTCAGGTGTGTTTGGGGTGTTTTCTGGGGGTGATTTTGGGGTGTCTTTGGGGATGTTCAGGGGTGTTTGGGGTGTCCCTGGGGGTGTTTGGGGTGTCCCTGGTGAGTCCAGGGGTGTTTGGGGGTTCAGGGGTGTTTGGGGTGTCCCTGGTGAGTTCAGGGGTGTTTGGGGTGTCCCTGGGGTGAGTTCAGATGTGTTTGGGGTGTTTTTTGGGGTGTTTTTTGGGGGTTCAGGGGTGTTTGGGATGTCCCTGGTGAGTTCAGGGATGTTTGGGGTGTCCCTGGGGTGAGTTCAGGGGTATTTGGGGTGTCCCTGGGGGGGTTCAGGGGTGTTTTGGGATTCAAGGGTGTCCCAGATGAGTCCAGGATGCTTGGGGTGTCCCTGGGTGAGTTCAGAGGTGTTTGGGGTGTCCCTGGGGGTGTTTTTGGGGGTGTTTTTGGGGCACCTGGAGCCGGGCGTGCTCCTCCAGCAGCCGATCGTACTCGCGGGTCAGACCCTGTGCCTGGCGCCGCATGGCCTGCACCTCGTTCTCCGCCTTCTCCAGGGCTGGGGGCACAGGGGGTCATGGGGACCCCAAAACCCCCCAAACACTCCCCAAAACCCCCTGAAAACCCAGACCTCCAGAGCTCCCTAAACCCCACAAGAGCCCCTCAATCCCACCCCAAAGCCCCCATGGCCTGCCCTCGTTCTCGGCCTTCTCCAGGGCTGGGGGCACAGGGGGTCACAGGACCCCAAAACCCCCAAACACCCCCTGAAAACCCCAGACCCTCCAGACTCCCTAAACCCCTCAGACCCCCAAATTCACCCTAAAGCCTCCCATGGCCCCCCTCGTTCTCCGCCTTCTCCAGGGCTGGGGGCACAGTGGGGTCTAGAGACCCCAAAACCCCCAAACACCCCCTAAAATCCCCCTGAAAACCCCAGAGCCCCTAAACCCCCCAGAGCCCCCAAATTCACCCCATAGCCCCCAATGGCCTGCCCTCGTTCTCAGCCTTCTCCAGGGCTGGGGGCACGGGGGGTCATGGAGACCCCAAAACCCCCCAAACACCCCCAAACCCCCTGAAAACCCAGAGCCCCCAGAGCCTCCCAGAGCCCCCAAAACCCCCAAACCCATAACTCACCCCAAAGCCCCCATGGCCTGAACCTCGTCTCTCTGCCTTCTCCAGGGCTGGGGGCACGGGGGTCACAGGGACCTGAACCCCCAACATCCCCAAACCCCTGAAAAACCCAGAGCTCCAGGACACCTCCAGACCCCCCCAGCCCCCCAAGCCCCCAAAGCCCCTCAAGACCCCCAGGACTACCCCAAAGCCCCCAGGACCCCCAGACCCAAAGCCCTCAGCCCCCAAAGCCCCCAAGACCCTCCTAGAGCCCCCTAACTCCTCTAAATCCCCCAGGACCCCCAAAAGCCCCCAGAGCCCCCTAAAGCCCCCAGCTCCCCAAAAACCCCCAAAGCTCCCCTAAGACCCCCCAGAAGCCCCCCAGACCCCCCAAAGCTCCCCAGGACCCCCAAAAGCCCCCAGAGCCCCCAAAAGCTCCCCAGAGCTCCAAAGCCCCCAGAGCCCCCAGGACCCTCCTAGAGCCCCCTACCCTCTAAGCTCTCCCAGACCCTCAAAAGCCCCCAACCCCTCTAAATCCCCCAAGGACCCCCCAAGCCCCCAGGACCCCCAAAAGCCTCCCAGAGCCCCCTACCCCTCTTGCTGCTCTCGAGCTCCTCCTTGAGCAACTCCACCTTGGCCTTCAGGGTCTCGCCCCGTCACGGGTGGGGACGGGCCCCCCGACTCCTGCAGCTGCTGGGGGCAAATTTGGGGGTCAGGGGGAATTTGGGGGTCAGGGGTTCAAGGAGCCCCCCGACTCCTGCAGCTGCTGGGGAAATTCTGGGGGTCAGGGAGGAAATTTTGGGGGGTCAGGGGGTCCTGAGGGTCTAGGGTCAGCAGGAGCCCCCGACTCCTGCAGCTGCTGGGGAAATTTGGGGGCTCAGGAGGGAATTTGGGGGTCAGGGTCTGGGGTCTAAGGAGCCCCCCGATCCTGCAGCTGCTGGGGGAATTTGGGGGTCAGGGGCAAATTTGGGGGTCTGGGGTCACAGGACACCCCTCGATCCTGCAGCTGCTGGGGCAATTTGGGGGTCAGGGGTCCTGGGGGTCTGGGGGTCCTGGGGGTCTGGGGTCACAGGGCCCCCTGATCCTGCAGCTGCTGGGGGCAATTTGGGGATCAGGGGAATTTTGGGGGTCAGGGGGTCCTGGGGGTCTGGGGGTCACAGGGCCCCCCGACTCCTGCAGCTGCTGGGGGCAAATTTGGGGGTCCGGGGTCAGAGGAGCCCCCGACTCCTGCAGTGCTGGGGGCAAAATTTGGGGGTCAGGGGGAATTTGGGGGTCAGGGGTCTGGGTCAGGGCCCTCCGATCCCTGCAGCTGCTGGGGAATTTGGGGTCAGGGGCAAATTTGGGGGTCAGGGGAAAATTTGGGGGTCTGGGGTGTCAAAGGCCCCCCAACTCCTGCAGCTGCTGGGGGGCAAATTTGGGGCGTCAGGGGCAAATTTGGGGGTCAGGGGAATTTGGGGGTCAGGGGCTGAAACCCCTTTGATCCTGCAGCTGCTGGGGAAATTTGGGGGTCAGGGGGAATTTGGGGTCAGGGGGTTAGGGGCCCCGATCCTGCAGCTGCTGGGGGCAAAATTTGGGGGTCAGGGGGTCCTGAGGGGTCTGGGGGTCAGAGGGCCTCCCGATCCTGCAGCTGCTGGGGAAATTTGGGGTCAGGGGTCCTGGGGGGTCTGGGGGCATCAAAGGGCCCCCGACTCCTGCAGCTGCTGGGGGCAGAATTTGGGGGTGAGGGGAAAATTTGGGGGTCTAGGGGGGTCATGAGCCCCCAACTCCTGTAGCTGCTGGGGGCAAATTTGGGGGTCAGGGAGGGAAATGGGGGAAAATTGGGGGGTTGGGGAGAATTTGGGGGTCTGAGGGTCTCAGGGCCTCTCAGATCCTGCAGCTGCTGGGAATTTTAAATCAGGGGAAATTTGGGGGTCAGGGGGAATTTTGGGGGTCAGGAGGGAATTAGGGGATCCTGGGGATATTTGGGGTGGTAAAGTTTTTGGGGCATTTTTGAGTGGGATTTTTTAGGGGTGTTTTTGGGGCATTTTTGGGGTGTTTTTTTGGGCATTTTTGGGGTGTTTTTTGCGGTATTTTTGGGGCGTTTTTGAGCGGGATTTTTTAGGGGTGTTCCTAGGGAGTGCTCGAGGGTGTTTTAGGAGGTTTATTTTTTGGGTAAATCCCTTCCTGAGGGTGTCGTTGTCCTCCAGGTACCTGCGGGGGTGTCACTGATTTTTGGGGTATTTTTGGGGCGTTTTTGGGCCTTTTTGGGGCGTTTTTTAGCAGGATTTTTTTGGGGGGTGTCCCAGGGATTTCAAGGATGTTTTTAGGAGGTTTATTTTTGGGTAAATCCCTTCCTGAGGGCGTCGTTGTCCTCCAGGTACCCCCTGTGGGAGTGTCACTGATTTTTGGGGTGTTTTTTGGGCCATTTTTGGGTGTTTTTAAGTGGGATTTTTTAGGGGTGTTTTTGGGAGGTTCTGCAGGTTTTTTAGGGTGTTTTTTGAGGGTTTATTTTGGGTAAATCCCTTCCTGAGGGCGTCATTTTCCTCCAGGTACCTGCAGGGGTGTAACTGATTTTTGGGTGTTTTTTGGGTGTTTTTGGGGCGTTTTTAAGTGGGATTTTTTAGGGGTGTTTTTGGGGGGTTCTCCAGGTTTTTTAAGGTGTTTTTTGAGGGTTTATTTTTGGGTAAATACCTTCCTGAGGGCATCGTTGTCCTCCAGGTACCTGGTGGGGGTGTCACTGATTTTTGGGGTATTTTTGGGGTGTTTTTGGGCCATTTTTGGGGCGTTTTTTAGCGGGATTTTTTTCAGATTTTTTTGGGGGTGTCCCAGGGATTTCAAGGATGTTTTTAGGAGGTTTATTTTTGGGTAAATCCCTTCCTGAGGGCGTCGTTGTCCTCCAGGTACCTGGGGGGGTGTCAGTGCTTTTTGGGGTATTTTTGGGGTGTTTTTGGGTGTTTTGGGGTCATTTTTGAGCGGGATTTTTTTGGGGGTGTCCCAGGGAGTGTGAGGATGTTTTTAGGAGGTTTATTTTTTGGGTAAATACCTTCCTGAGGGCGTCGTTGTCCTCCAGGTACCTGCGGGGGTGTCACTGATTTTTGGGGTTTTTTTGGGCCATTTTGGGGTGTTTTTTAGCGGGATTTTTTTCAGATTTTTTTGGGGGGTGTCCCAGGGTCTTTTGGGATGTTTTTAGGACATTTATTTTGGGTAAATCCCTTCCTGAGAGCGTCGTTGTCCTCCAGGTACCTGGGGGGGTATCACTGATTTTTGGGGTGTTTTTGGGGTATTTTTGGGCCATTTGGGGGCATTTTTTAGCGGGATTTTTTTCGGATTTTTTTGGGGGTGTCCCAGGGAGTGTGAGGGTGTTTTTAGGAGTGTTTATTTTTTGGGTAAATACCTTCCTGAGGGCGTCGTTGTCCTCCAGGTACCTGTGGGGGTGTCACTGATTTTTGGGGTATTTTTGGGCCATTTTGGGGCGTTTTTTAGCAGGATTTTTTTCAGATTTTTTTGGGGGTGTCCCAGGGTCTTTTGGGATGTTTTTTGAGGGTTTATTTTGGGTAAATCCCTTCCTGAGGGCATCGTTGTCCTCCAGGTACCTGCAGAGGTGTCAGTGATTTTTGGGGTATTTTTGGGGTATTTTTGGGCCATTTTTGGGGTGTTTTTGAGTGGGATTTTTTAGGGGTGTTTTTGGGGGGGTTCTCCAGGTTTTTTTAAGGTGTTTTTTGAGGGTTTATTTTGGGTAAATACCTTCCTGAGGGCGTCGTTGTCCTCCAGGTACCTGCGGGGGTGTCACTGATTTTTGGTTGGTTTTGGGCCATTTTTGGGGCGTTTTTGAGCGGGATTTTTTTGGGGGGTGTCCCAGGGTCTTTTGGGATGTTTTTTGGGTGTTTATTTTTTGGGTCAATACCTTCCTGAGGGCGTCGTTGTCCTCCAGGTACCTGCGGGGGTGTCAGTGCTTTTTGGGGTTTTTTTGGGCCATTTTGGGGCGTTTTTGAGTGGGATTTTTAGGGGTGTTTTTGGGGGGTGTCTCCAGGGTTTTTAGGGTGTTTTTTGAGGGTTTATTTTGGGTAAATCCCTTCCTGAGGGCGTCGTTGTCCTCCAGGTACCTGCGGAGGTGTCACTGATTTTTGGGGTATTTTTGGGTGATTTTGGGGCGTTTTTGGGGTATTTTTAGGTATTTTTTTGGGGGTGTTCCAGGGATTTCTGGGGTTTGAGGATGTTTTTTGAGGGTTTATTTTGGGTAAATACCTTCCTGAGGGCGTCGTTGTCCTCCAGGTACCCCCTGGGAGGGTGTCACTGATTTTTGGCTGGTTTTGGGCCATTTTTGGGGTGTTTTTGAGTGGGATTTTTTAGGGGTGTTTTTGGGGGTGTCTCCAGGGATTTTTAGGGTGTTTTTAGAGGGTTTATTTTGGGTAAATACCTTCCTGAGGGCGTCGTTGTCCTCCAGGTACCTGCGGGGGTGTCACTGATTTTTGGGTGTTTTTTGGGCCATTTTTGGGGCATTTTTGAGCGGGATTTTTTTGGGGGTGTCTCTCAGGAGTTCTGAGGTAGTGTTTTTAGGAGGTTTATTTCGGGTAAATCCCTTCCTGAGGGCGTCGTTGTCCTCCAGGTACCTGCAGGGGTGTCACTGATTTTTGGGCCATTTTTGGGGCGTTTTTTAGCGGGATTTTTTAGGGGCTATTTTTTGGGGGGTGTTCCAGGGTCTTTTGGGATGTTTTTTGGGGGGTTATTTTTGGGCAAATCCCTTCCTGAGGGCGTCGTTGTCCTCCAGGTACCTGGGGGGGTGTCACTGATTTTTGGGTATTTTTGGGGGCCATTTTTGGGTGTTTTTGAGTGGGATTTTTAGGTGTTTTTGGGGTGTCCTGCAGGGTTTTAGGATGTTTTTAGGAGGTTTATTTCGGTAAATCCCTTCCTGAGGGCGTCGTTGTCCTCCAGGTACCTGGGGGGGTGTCACTGATTTTTGGGGTATTTTTGGGGTGTTTTTGGGTGGTTTTGAGTGGAATTTTTTGGGGGTTTTTTTTGGGGGGTGTCCCAGGGATCTTTAAGGATGTTTTTAGGAGGTTTATTTTTTGGGTAAATACCTTCCTGAGGGCGTCGTTGTCCTCCAGGTACCTGCGGGCGGCCTGGCTGGCGCCCTCGGCCTGCTTGCGGAAGGCCTGGCTGGAGGCGCCCAGCGAGGCCTGGGCCGAGATCAGCGTCACCAAACGCCTCAGGAGGCTATGAGGGTAAAAAAGAGGGGCTCAGGGAACCCCCCATGGGATCAGAGACCCCCCAAACCACAAATAACACCCCTGAATCACCCTGAACCCCCCCAGGGTCACCCAGAGCCCCCCAGAGTCACCCAGAGCCCCCCAGAGCCCCCAAACCCCCTCAGGACCCCCAGGGCCGAGATCAGCGTCACCAAACGCCTCAGGAGGCTATGAGGGGAAAAAACAGGGGCTCAGGGACCCCCCCAAATCACAAATAACACCCCTGAATCCCCTGAACACCCCAGGGTCAGCCAGAACCACCTCAGACCCCCAAACCCCTCAGGACCCCCAGGGCTGGGATCAGCGTCACCAAACGCCTCAGGAGGATGGGGTGGAAAAGAGGGCCTCAGGGACCCCCAAACCACAAATAACACCCCTGAATCCCCCGAATCACCAGGGTCCCAGAGCCCCCAGAGCCCCCAAACCCCCTCAGGACCCCCTCAGACCCCAGGACCCCTCAGGACCCCCAGGGCCGAGATCAGCGCCACCAAACGCCTCAGGAGGATGGGGGTAAAAAGAGGGCTCAGGGACCCCCCCAAATCACAATGAACACCCCTGGGACCCCCCAAATCACCCTGACCACCCCAGGGGCACCCAGAGACCCCCAAACCCCCTCAGGACCCCCAGGGTGGGGATCAGCGTCACCAAACGCCTCAGGAGGCTGGGGGGGTAAAAAAAGAGGGGCTCAGAGACCCCCCAATCACCTGAACAGAGACCCTCAAATCACCCTGAACACCCCAGGGTCAGCCAGGGACATCCCAGGACCCCCAAACCCCCTCAGGACCCCCAGGGTGGGGATCAGCGTCACCAAACGCCTCAGGAGGCATGGGGTACAAAAGAGGGGCTCTAGGGACCCCCCAAATCACCAAATCACCCTGAACACCCCTGAATCATCCTGAGCCACCCAGAGGCATCCAGGACCCCCAAACCCCTCAGGACCCCCAGGGCCGGGATCAGCGTCACCAAACGCCTCAGGAGGCTGGGGGTAAAAACAGGGGCTCAGGGACCCCCAAGGATCACAAGACCCCCAAATCACCCTGAACCCCCGGGATCACCAGGGTCCCAGAGCCCCCAGGGTCACCCAGGGTCCCTCAGGATCCCCCAAACCCCCTCAGGACCCCCAGGGCCGAGATCAGCGTCACCAAACGCCTCAGGAGACTAGGGGGGTAAAAACAGGGGCTCAGGGACCCCCAAATCACACATGAGCCCCCTGAATCCCACTGAACCCCCAGGGTCACCCAGAGACCCCCAGAGCCCCCAGATCAACCAGGGTCCCAGAGACCCCAGACCCCAAACCCCTCAGGACCCCCAGGGCGGGATCAGCGTCACCAAACGCCTCAGGAGGCTGGGGTAAAAACAGGGGCTCAGGGACTCCCCATGGGATCAGAGACCCCCTAAATCCCACTGAACTCCCACAGGACCCCCCCAAAACCCTCACAGGACCCCCACCCCCTCAACTGCTATGGGATCTCCAAATCCCCCCAAACACATCCTGGGACCCCCAAACACACCCTGGGACCCCTAAACACACCCTGGGACCCCCAAACACATCCTGGGACCCCCAAACACATCCTGGGACCCCCAAACACACCCTGGGACCCCCAAATTCCCCCAAACACATCCTGGGACCCCTAAATTCACCTTCAAACACATCCTGGGATCCCCCCAAACACATCCTGGGACCCCCAAATTGCCCCTAAACACATCCTGGGACCCCCAAATCCTCCCCAAACACATCCTGGGATCCCCTCAAATCCTCCCCAACACATCCTGGGACCCCCAAACTCGCCATCCTAGACCCCTCAAATCCTCCCAGACTCACAAGGAGAGCAGGAGAGCAAACTCCAGCCAGGTAAAGGGGTCCTGTCCCCCTCCCCAGCCCCAAATCCCCCCTAAAAACATCCTGGGACCCCCAAATCCCCTCAAACACATCCTGGGACCCCCAAACACATCCTGGGACCCCCAGAGCCCCCAAGGAGACACATCCTGGCGACCCCTAAACACATCCCTGGGACCCCAAATCCCCTCCAACACATCCTGGGACCCCAAATCCCCCTAAAAACACCCTGGGACCCCAAATCCCCTCAGACACATCATGGGACCCCCAAATCTCCCTAAAAACACCCTGGGACCCCCTAAATCCCCCAAACATCATTTTGGGACCCCAAATCCCCCAAAAACACCCTAGGACCCCAAACACATCTAGGACCCCGAATCCCCCTGAAGCACATCCTGGGACCCCAAACTCATTTTGGGACCCCCAAATCCCCCAAATCCCCCAGACTCACAAGGAGAGCAGGAGAGCAAACCCAGCCAGGTAAAGGGGTCCTGTCCCCCTCCCCAATCCCCCAAATCCCCCCCAAACACATCCTGGGACCCCCAAACTCATTCTGGGACCCTCAAATCCCCCAAACCCATTTTGGGACCCCAAATCCTCCCCAAATCCCCAGACTCACAAGGAGAGCAGGAGGGTGAACCCAGCCAGGTAAGGGGTCCTGTCCCCTTCCCCAGCCTCCCCAAATCCCCCAAACACATTTTGGGACCCCAAATCTCCCCCAAACACACCCTGGGACCCCAAATCCCCCAAAACACCCTCGACCCCCAAATCCCCCCCAAACACATCCTGGGACCCCCAAATCCCCCAAACACATCCTGGGACCCCCAAATCCCTCCCAAACACATCCTGGGACCCCCAAATCACACCCCTAAAAACACCCCTTAAACACATCCTGGGACCCCCAAATCCCCCTAAAAACACCCTGGGACCCCCAAATCTGCTCCAAACACATTCTGGGACCCCCAAACACACTCTGGGACCCCCAAATCCCCCAAACACACCTGGGACCCCCAAACGCATCCTGGGACCCTCAAACTCTCCCCAAACACATTTTGGGACCCCAAACTCCCCAAAGCCCCCAGACTCACAAGGAGAGCAGGAGGGCGAACCCAGCCAGGTAAAGGGTCCTGTCCCCTCCCCAACCCCCAAATCCCCCAAACTCATTTTGGGACCCCCAAATCCCCTCAAACACATCCTGGGACCCCCAAATCCCCCCTCTAGACACATCCTGGGACAGCCGCAAATCCCCAGCTAAAGACACCCTGGGACCCCCCAACACATCCTGGAGATCCCCCCAAACACACCCTGGGACCCCCAAATCCCCCCAAACACATCCTGGGACTCCCCAAACACACCCTGGGACCCCAAATCCCCCAAACACATCCTGGGACCCCCAAATCCCCCAAACACATCCTGGGACCCCCAAATCTCCCCTAAACACAATTCTGGGACCCCTAAATCCCCCTAAACACATCCTGGGACACCACCCTAAACACATCCTGGGACCCCAAATCCCCTAAAATCACTCTGGGACCCCCAAAGCCCCCAGACTCCCCCAAATCCCCCCAGACTCACAAGGAGAGCAGGAGAGCAAACCCAGCCAGGTAAAGGGTCCTGTCCCCTCCCTAACCCCCAAATCCCCTCCAACACATTTTGGGACCCCAAATCCCCCAAACACATCCTGGGACCCCTATGCCCCCAAACTCCCCCAATCCCCAGACTCACAAGGAGAGCAGGAGGGCGAACCCAGTCAGGTAAAAGGGTCCTGTCCCCCTCCCCACCCTCAAAGCCCCCAAATCCCCCAAACTCATTCTGGGACCCCAGATGCCCCCAAATCCCCCCAGACTCACAAGGAGAGCAGGAGGGCGAACCCAGCCAGGTAAAGGTTCCTCTGGGCCCGGAAAAGTTTCATGTGGAAATGTTCCAGAGCCCCAGGGCTGCTCTGCAGGGCCTCCCTGTCCCCCAAATTGTATTTACGGGTCTCCCTCAGGGCATCTGCGGGGATTGGGGGGGTTTAGGGGTTTGAGACCCCCAGGCCCCAAAACCCCCCAAAACTCCCCAGGAATCAGCAGAACCCCCCAGGATCATCCCAGGACCCCCAAAGGGCCTCCCTGTCCCCCAGGTTGTACTTACGGGTCTCTCTCAGGGCATCTGGGGGATTTGGGGGTTTAGGGGGTTTGAGACCCCAGGACCCCCAAGAGTCATAGGACCCCAAAACCCCCAGGAGTCCTCAGGACCCCCAAAACCCCAGGAATCATGCAGGACCCCCCAGGATCATCCCAGGAACCCCCAAAGGGCCTCCCTGTCCGCCAAATTGTACTTGGGGGTCTCTCTTAGGGCATCTGGGGGGATTTGGGGGGTTTAGGGGGGGTTTGAGACCCCCAGGACCCCCCAAAACCCCCCAGGAGTCATCAGGACCCCCCAGGAGTCACCAGGACCCCCAAGACACTCCAGGAATCACCAGAAACCCCAAAGGGCCTCCCTGTCCCCCAAATTGTATTTGGGGGTCTCCCTCAGGGCATCTGGGGATGATTTGGGGGGGTTTAGGGGGGGTTTGAGACCCCCAGGAACCCCAAAAACCCCCCAGGAATCATCAGGATCCCACAGGAGTCACCAGGACCCCCCAGGATCATCCCAAGACCCCCAAAGAGCCTCCCTGTCCCCCAAATTCTACTTGGGGGTCTCTCTCAGGGTATCTGGGGGGATTTGGGGGGCTTTAGGGGGGGTTTGAGACCCCCCAGGACCCCCCAAAACCCCCCAGGACCCCCAAACCCCCAGGATCATCCCAAGACCCTCCAGGATCATCCCAGGAACCCCCAAAGGGCCTCTCTGTCCCCCAAATTGTACTTGGGGGTCTCCCTCAGGGCATCTGCGGGGATTGGGGGGGTTTAGGGGGGGTTTGAGACCCCAGGACCCCCAAAGTCCTCAGGACCCCCAAAGCCCCAGGAGTCACCAGGCCCCCCAGGATCATCCCAGGACCCCCAGCCCCAAGATCCTTCCCTGGCCCCCAAATTGTACTCTGGGGTCTCTCTCAGGGTATCTGGGGGGATTTGGGGAGCTTTAGGGGGTTGAGACCCCAGGACCCCCAAAACCCCCAGGACCCTCAAACCCCCAGGACCCCCAAAACCCCCAGGACCCCCAAAAACCCCCAGGATCATCCCAGGAACCCCAAAGTCCCCAGGATCATCCCAGGACCCCCAAAGGGCCTCCCTGTCCCCCAAATTGTATTTGGGGGTCTCCTCAGGGCATCTGGGGATGATTTAGGGGGTTTAGGAGGGTTTGAGAACCCCAGGACCCCCAAAACCCCCCAGGAGTCATCAGGACCCCCCAAAACCCCCAGGAATCAGCAGGACCCCCAGGATCATCCCAGGACCCCCAGGATCATCCCAGGACCCCAAAGGGCCTTCCTGTCCCCCAAATTGTACTTGGGGTCTCTCTCAGGGCATCTGGGGGATTGGGGAGTTTAGAGGGTTTGAGACCTCAGGACCCCCAAAAAACCCCAGGACCCCCAAAACCCCAGGAATCATCAGGACCCCCGGATCATCCCAGGAACCCCCAAAGCCCCCCAGGATCATCCCAGGACCCCCAAAGAGCCTCCCTGGCCCCCAAATTCTACTTGGGGGTCTCTCTCAGGACATCTGGGGGGATTGGGGAGGCTTTAGGGGGATTGAGACCCCAGGACCCCCAAAACCCCCAGGAGTCAGCAGGACCCCCAAAGCCCCCAGGATCATCCCAGGACCCCCCAGCCCCAAAATCCTTCCCTGGCCCCCAAATTGTACTTGGGGGTCTCTCAGGGC